ACACACACACCCATATGCACATATGTACATACACATACATATATGTACACACACACCATGTACACATATGTATACATATATCCATAAATTACACAAAATATGGTTTAGATGCTTAAATTTACATAAATAGTATCGTTAACATCATTAGGATAATATCCTACTAACTTTTTAAAACTCACCATTGTTATTTGAGATTTATTTATGCTGACATGCACACAGCCCTAGTCCTTTCCTTTTACCCGCTGTGTAATATTCCACCATGTGACCCCTGTCCCCCACACTGCCACACACAATTTACTCACCAATCTCTCTATGTATAGCCCTTTGAGTTGTGCCCATTGGTGATTGAAAGCAGGCCCAGGTTTTAGTCTAGTTGGGTCACAGGATAGTCACATAAGCAGTTTATGCTTCATGCCCTTGAGGGTCCCCCGCCCCTCTTGCCACACAAGTGTAGAGTACAACAAATCAGGTGCTATGGTGACGCCAGGGGACACCCAGTGATGTCCGTTCCCACTCTCTTGAATCTGAACCTGACGTCACAGCTTTCTGAGAGTCTCTTTGAGCCTGGCCTTCTGCACTGGACATGTTCATATATGGTGGTGTGACTAACCTGAGGGAGAAGCCAGGATCTCTGAGAGAGTCCACATTCGTGGGTGGTTCCCAGCAGGGCAAGTGAGTACGCGGAAGCCCTCCCAGCCATTCCTGGGCTCTGCCCCAGAGAGGAGGCCTTCGAGGAGGCCAGCACATCCAGCCCGCTGCAGAGAAAGCCGAGCCTCTCCTCTTTGCATGGGGGCTATTTTTATCCAAGGCACAGGCTCTGTCAGGACCTTGGAGAGTTTCCAGGGGGTTAGAGATGGGAACGGCCGCATTCCCATAGCTCTTTGGCTAACTCTCTGCCGCCTGGTGCCAGCGTTTCTGCTTTCTGGGATGCCCATCTTGGACCTATCCCATCCCTGCCTCCATCCATGTGTTGCCCCTGGAAGAAGACGCCCTTCTTTGGCTGCCAGTTTGCAGTCCCAGCTATCTCGAGAGGTGAAAACCCGGCCATTGCCATGTGGGCAAAGAACAGGGAAGGCTTTTTGAAGGACTGAACCCTGTGTTGAGGCATGGCTACCACCCTCCCCATCCAGGCAGAATCCTGGAGCCCCATGCTCTGGCCCCCAAAACCCCTGCACTGTCTTTACTCAGCCTTGTCCCACTGGGTGGAGACCACGGTTTCCTCCTTGAGGCCAGGGACTGCGTCATCTTCATCTTCGTGTCCCTAGTCTCCACCCCAGGGTCCAGCACAAAATAGGTGCTCAATAAAGGCAGTTGTACAAATGACCACTCTTCCCTGGGGGTAAAGCAGAGGCTGGGGCATAAATGGACACGCCCATCCAGGCCCTCCCTTGTCTTCTTGGATGAATCATATGTATTTTTTAGACAACAAGCCAGGAGCAGGACATCTATGGTTTGTGGCCCTTCAGTGGAGGTGAGACAGTTGGCCCCCAGGGACATAGGAGCCAAGGTAGCTTGCTGGAAATGTCTGGGTCTTCAGAACTATCAGCTTGGGCATCAGCATCTCCACTTACTAGGAGGGTGGACTTGGGCTCATCTCGCCCCCACCCTATACCTTGTCTTCCTCATCTGTAAATGGGAACGGTCACAGACTGACCTCCTGGGCTGTCACAATGATCAGAAATGATGTACATAAAGTGACCGGCCCGTGCAGGTGCTTACGAAGGGTTTTCTGAAGGAACAAGAGGCACAGCAGAAATCTGCCTAGTAAAATCCTGACCTCAGCATTTTAAAGTTTGTAAGTTTGTGAGACTGGGCTAATAACAGGTAGGGAGCATAGTAGTCAGTTTTCTGTTGCTTATAATAGAAGACCTGAAACTGGGTGACTTATAAATAAATGAATTTTTTTTTTACAGTTTTGGAGTCTGGGGATGTGTCTGGTGAGGGCCTTTTTCTTGGGGACTCTCTGCAGAGTCCCGAGGTGATGCAGGACATCCCTTGGCTGGCGGGGTGGGGAGCAGGAGCACGTTAACGCATTCACTTGCTCTCCTTACAAAGCCACCAGTGAACACCCACGATGACCCATTTATCCATGCCGGAGTCCAGCTCCAGCTGGTTCTTGGAGCCCGAGAAGGATGTGTGGAGTCAGCGAAAAGAAAAAAAAAAAAGACAACGACGGACCAATGATGTCAAGTGCATCAGTGGACGACGGACAAAAGTCGTTCTCCTTTATTTACACCACGTCTATCCTCTAATTACAGAAAGCAAACATTTTTCATCAAGTTAATATTAAACTATGAGCACAAAATCGATCAATACAATATTTAAATCATCCTTTTTTGATTATACTGCATCATAACTTTTTAAAGAACTACATGTCATTATTTACAGATCATAATCTTTTAAAAAAGTACATATCACTCTTTAAAGTGAAACAAACTTGACCAGCAGGCAAGAGTTTCAAACCGAGGTCTGTGGCCAGTGGCCAGAGACCTCACGGTTGGCAGCACATGCAGTTTTTAAGTAAAACGTTTAACCCTTACAACATATGATTTACATATCCATCAGCTATTTTGATTTTAATTTTTTATCTTAATCAACTAAAAGTAACAATTATTTAAAAAGCACATCTTTTTCTTTTTTTTTGTCTTTTTTGTGACCGGTAAGGGGATCGCAACCTTTGGTGCGGTGTCACCCGCACCACGCTCAGCCAGTGAGCGCACCGGCCATCCCTATATAGGATCCGAACCCGCGGCGGGAGCGACGCTGCGCTCCCAGCACCGCACTCTCCCGGGTGCGCCATGGGGTTGGCCCAAAGCACATCTTTTTCTAATATGATTTAACTATTTGTGTAAAATGATTCTTTGTTTTAACGTTTTTGAACAACTTAGGGGCCCAAACCTAACTAATTTTTCCATAAACAAAAACTTTAAATATTTTACTCATATTTAATCTTACCATACTATATATTTATCCTCTCTATATGGCCCTGTATTTAAAAAAAAAAGGTCTATCAGCTCCTACATGTAGCATGCCATATCTTCCTCCAGGAGCCCACCAGACTTTTAATATTTAACCAACATAATTGTCGTCTCTGACAGTGAAAACCAAACCCCTGCGTGGTAGAATAATGACCCGGGCGACTTGTGCCTCGGGTAAATTTACAGGAAAACTTACTGTTATTTTACTCTGCTCCACCGCCCCATCCGTCCGTCTGTACAGGAAGCCTCTTGGCTTCTTTGTACCTTCTTTTTGGAACAATGGTTAGAACAAACCATGGACCCAGGTATACTTTTCAACATTTTTACCTGGGTTTCATTAATCAAATCAAACTTGTTTTTATTAACTGAGAGGTTTCCCAAGAGGCCGGTTTCTTTAACCAAGAAAAATGTAATTTCATTTGTATCATTATTAAAAGGTACAACTGCCGCCTCACACCAGATGCATAAGAGCATAAACGTTCCCATAAAACATCCAATTATTTCCGGGGGGTTGACAAGTACATGCAATCCAGAGAATACCAGAATAGGGATTTTCGGGAGAACTTCTGCAGGGCCCTTTACCACGCACACGGAGATTGTACGCAGCTCTGCTGAACGGAGAACCGTCCTCCTTACATTCCCACGCCGGAGTCCACGGACACATGCATGGCTTCCCACATATCCACTAACTCATTTACCCATGAATAGGTTAATCCACTCATGAGGGCAGAGCCTTCACAATCCAATCACCTCCCAAAGGCCCTGCCTTTCAGCATTTGCACACTAGGGATCGTGCTCCCTCATGAGCTTTGGAGGGGACAATCACTCAGACCATAACAGGGGGTTTCTTTATTGCAGACACGCTCAGTGTCTTTAATAAAGCCGTGGGCACCATGGATCTCTGAGAGGGATGAATCCCACCTAATGTGACCTGAGGACCATGTCCCACAGCACCCCAGCCCCAGTATGCATCAGGGTTAGGGCTCCAGGAACATGCTCGGGATGTGAAGCTCCAAGACAGGGCCATGAAGGTCCAGGAGTCCTGGGCCACCTCTTTCTTCTGTCCCCTCAGCCCTGCTGTTGGTTTTATCAGTCAAAGGAGATCTGGCTAAATTCTGGGAAATTAACCTGTCTGGACATGGTCACCAACAGGTAACCATCCTGATGTGGTCATTGGGTACTAATCACCCATATGAACCTCTAACTTAGAGCAAAGATCAGCAATGCAGTGTCTGCAGTAGACTCCGAATCAGCCAGAAGCAAGCTGTCTCATGGTTTTTGCTTAGTGGGGTCAGGGCTAAGAATGGAGTTTAGAGTCCCCCTTAGAGACCATTTCCTCTGTCCACTGTCACTTTCTCCGAGGATCAAATCAGCAGGTGAGCATTGCTCTGTGGAGCATGGGGCTGAGTCCTTGGCTGGGCTCTAGATGACTATGTCATAGTGTGTCACAGATACATGAGTGGAGCCCAGTGGGAGGGCAGTGATCAGAGGAACCTGTGCAGTGATGGGTCTGGCATGGCCTGTAGACCACTTTTGGTAAACTGAGTCTCCCTTCACAGGGACTAGGAAGTTTGCGACTAACACTGGTTAATGGTGTATCCTTTGGTGATGTGAAATGACTCTATCAATCCCTTCTGGGGACGGGAGACAGAACTTAACTCATGCATGTGTAGAAATGCTGACTTGAAATGAGAAAATACAGTGGCAAGAGAATACTTGAGGCCGGGAGAAACTGTCCCAGATCCTATTTGGTATGCAGAGAGCTCGCTTGCTGGAAACCCCTGGGTTGAACTCCAGCTCCACCACTTCCTGTCTGTGGGACCTTGGTTATTTAGCTTCTACAAGCCTCAGTTTCCACATCTACAAAATGGGGAGAATTGCCCTGCTTCATTCACTGCTCAAGTCAGTACTAACCCGACTTTCCTCCACTGCCTTCTGCTTCCTTCCAGAGCTCTGAGCGTCCAGCTCTGCCCCAGGAGCCCAGGCTGCCCTGTCGCCCGGTCGATACCACAGGTGTGGAGCCATGCGCTGTGTCCCAAGCGGCGGCATCCCCTTGGGGCTGGTGTTACTGGTCTGTGGAGCCCACGGCTTTTTCCTGCCCAATGTCACGCACTTAGAGAAGCTGCTCAGCAAATACCAGCAGGACGAGCCCCACTCGCGCATGCGGAGGGCCATCCCCAGGTCAGACAAGGAGGAGATCCTCATGCTCCACAACAAGCTGCGGGGCCAGGTGTACCCATCGGCCTCCAACATGGAGTACATGGTGAGCACTGACGCTGGACGCAGGGGCTGGCGTGAGCGGGGGGCTGGGGCCACCATCCGGCTTGGTCCCCAGTTGGTGGGCGGGGCAGGCCCAGTTACTCGTGGGTTCACCGTGGAACCCACATTGCCCTGCTGCCGACTCCTCACGTTGCCTCTTTGTAGCTGAACCCAGAACCCAGCCCTTGCCTCTCCCCACCGGGCCCCGCAGAGGCACCTCCCAGCTGTGTGACCTCGCATCGCCTCAGCTGGTGTGAGCCAGTTTCCTCCCTGAGCCTCACTACTTGCATGGCTCCGGTGACAATGGGATGAGGTGGTGCAAGATGCCCCAGCACAGAGACACATACTTGGGCTGCGGTATCACCGCCATCATTGTGCCAGCCTGGGTTCTACCCCACCCACCTTGGGCCATGTCTTCTCTGAGTGGTGAAGGGCAGCTGAGTCCATGAGAAATGGGGTGTCTGTCAGAGGGGAGGCGGTAGAGAAGAGGCAGTGGAGGGTCCTCCTGGGAGAGGAGAAATCCATCTCAGGAGCGGAGGGGAACAGGCTCTCCAAGTCTACACCTGCCGCCTCCACTCGTGGAGCCCCAGGGTCCAGTGGAAGTTTCCACGTGGATGTTGTCTGTCTAAGGCCACGCTGCCCAGGGGGATGTTCTTAAAGGTGGAGAGTTCTGTCCAATACAGGGCCATTATCCATGTGTGGCTTTTGAGCACTTGAAATGTGGCCAGTGTGATGGAGGAACTCAATTTTTAATTTGATTTCATTTTAATTAACTTAAATTTAAGTAGCCGCATGTAGCTAACAGCTACCATATTGGACAGGACAGGTCCAATGGGCCAGAGAGAAAACTTAACCACCCTCTACGCCAAAAGATCTCCCTTGTGATGCCTGTTCTGACATTATCATTTCCCATTCTCCCAGCCCTGTGAAGTAGGTACTGCTATTTCCCCACTTCATAGATTAGGAAACTGAGGCCCTAGGTCACAGCGGGTAAGTGGCAGAGCCAGGATCTGAACCTGGCTCTAGCTGACTCCAGGACCCGTGCTCTCAGCCACGGCTCTATTATATTACGAGGGCTCTTCTGCAGCATCTCCCACCCTCTCGCCCAGCCTGTTCCTGTCACACCTCGATTATTGAGCAGCCTTGCCCTGGCGGGGAGGACTTCATTGCCTCCCGTTTTTCCCACTTCCAGCCCATTCTGAATCCATTCCTAAATCTTCACTCCTTTCCATCCTTTCTCCTGCTCTGGAAACTCCTGTGACCTTCTGTGTTCCTGTGGGAACCCAAATGCTTTTGCCTGGCACCGGAGCCTCATAAGGAGCCCTCATCTGTCTTGATAACTTCTGTCACTTCGCTTCAGCCAGAAAGGCCCACCCGGTGCCCTGCAGATGCTATGCAGGCACGGCCACCACCCTTATGCTGTCCCTTCCCGGAGCCCTTTCCCCCATCGCCTGCTTTCTCCAGCTCCTGCACAGCCTTCATCCCAGGCCATGGCACCGCACCTCTCTGGACTTGGCTTGTCGATGGTCACTTTGCTCTCATGGCCATTGTGGTCAGAGACCACCGCGTGCCCGAGAGCCCCTCTGTGCACACACAAGATCTAGGACCAATGAACTGACTGTCTGAGCAGAGCCCTCTGAGCAAGGCTGGCCTTTAGGAATGTTTCTCAAAACTGTTCTTCCCTCAAGAAAATTGTCCTGGCATTTATTCCAAGGGCTTGTGCTAATTTTAGAAGGAAATATGAGCACTCTTTCAAAAACTAATGCATTGGGCAGCTTGTGCAGACTTTTTTAGGGTTAAAGATATAGAACATTAGGTTAGATTTCTTTTGGATTTCAGGTGCAGGCTCCTGCCCCATCCTCCCTGGGGCCACAGCCAGATGCCAGGGCAGGAGCTAGCTGGGCATGGTGACTGCAGGTGGGAAGCCCCTCCCAGGAGCCAGCATGCCTGGGTCCAGGTCCAAGTTCTGTCACTTGCTAGCTGTGTGATTTTGGGCAGATTACTTAGCCTCTCTGTTTATGTTTCCTCATCTGATCCCTGGCCTTTGCCAACTGGGGAAGGAGTTAATGGTGACAGAAGGCAGCCATGGTCAACCCTCCCGGGCTCTTGGGATGGGCTTTCCAGATGTGGCTGGGTGACATTGCCATTTGTCCCCAGACTCCAGAGCAGAAATTTCCTTCCTGGCTGGTTTCCCAGACCATTGGGAAATGGGCCTCACTCTGTTGGGGTCACTCCTTGTCCCACTGATCAGGAGCCTCCACTTTGTTCATTCATCAGCTCTGAATGACTTTTAAAAACCCATGTCTCAGAGGGTAAGTATCTGCCACTTTGGGAGACATATTTAAGGGGTGCCCGAATGCCACATGCATAGCCATCATCTTTGGAAGGCGCTCTTGGCCTCCAGGTGATGTCTTTGAGAGGATACATTCTCAGCCATGTCTTTAAAGCTGTTGTCATGTTACGTTGTCATGGGCTGAGCTGACCTGTTGGCACCCCTGCCTGGATGAGGGTGCTACCAGGAGCAACCCCAGGCCAGGTGGGCTGCGTGTCTCCCCCACAAAGTTGCCGTGGAGGGCTGACATGAGTGCTGAGAGGCTGTTACGTGCCATATGAATTGTGTCCTGTGTAACCCTGACAGTAATGCTGGAAAATAGGGAGTTTTAGCACCATTTTGCAGATGAGAAAATTGAAGCTTGAAGAGGTCAACCTTTAAAGGGCTTGCAGAAACCACACAGCTGTAAATGGTGAAGCTTTGATTCAAAGCTACCTTGTCTCTCCCCCAAACCTGCACACGGGAGGTGCTTAACTATTTATTGAATGAGTGGGTGGAAGGCAGTCTGGCCTCCTTTCTCCGCTGCTCTGCCTTCTGCACACCTGGGATTTCATTAACGGGTTAATTCTATGTGTTTATTAAACGCCTCCCACGTGCCCAGCACATCGTGAGATTCTTGATCTAAAGAGGTGGACAAAAATAGATGAGATCCCTGTCCTCCTGGAGCCTACACACTGGCACAGGCAGGAAGTATTTATGGAGCATCTTCTATATGCCAGGTGCTGTTCTAGATTCTGGGAGGAAACATAATTATGAGACATGCAGAGTATGATGAAGAAACACAGGGAGCTATAAGAAAGAATGTTGGACATAATTATGAGACATGCAGAGTATGATGAAGAAACACAGGGAGCTATAAGAAAGAATGTTAGGAGTGGGAGAACCTGACTGAAGTTGCGGTGTTAGGGGGCCGCTCTGTGGAAGCAGCATTTGAATTGAGACCTGAAGAGTGAGAAAGATTGAGCGACAAGTGTACAGGGAAGGGCGTTCTGGGCAGAGGGAACAGAAGTTGCCAAAGCTGCCACCACCTCACGAGTCTCTTTCCTTAAGGGGGAAAAAAGCTTGGAGCCTCAGGGGAGCTCTCAGAAAGCCAGTGGGGCTGGGACCCGGTTCTGAGGGGTGCGAGGCCATTGGAGGAGGTTAGAGAGGCAGGCAGGGGCATATCACACAGGGCTTTGAGGCCAGGTGAGGAGCCTGCATTTTATTCTATGAAAAGGGGGGTTTGAGAAGGAGGATACGTTCATGACTTTGAAACGCTGCTGCTGCCGTGCAGAGGAGGAGGATTGGAGGCCCAGTGGGAAGCAGGGATGCTCTGGGAGGCAGCTCAGTTGGGCAGGTGACAGGGTGGGGCTCGGGTGGGGAGGACATGAAGGACAAAGGACCATCTGGAAGACATTGCCCACAGGTCCTGGTGATGCTCGGTTTTCTGCTGCTGTTGCTTTTTCTCTGTTTCTCTCCGAGCTCTGCATCCCCTATAATAAAGTCCCCTGGAATCAGAGCGACCCCGTCTAGGGGCTGTTTCTGAAGGGGCGGAGAGTGGGCAGAGAGATGTCACAAGCTCAGGATCCCAGGCTTTCCCTTATGTCTGCTTTAGCCTGAATACACACTGTCGCCCTTTTAGGTTTTCCTTTTTCACTCCCAATCTCTGAGAGCAGAGGGGGCTTGCTGGAAATGCTGTGGGAATGGCTGCTTCATGAAAAATGAAAGGAAGGGGACCACAGAGAAGTTGAGACCGATGAAATGTCCCATCCGCCTAGCCCTGCTGGCATGGCCTTGGTCTCCGTGAGGCGAGGGGGCTATGCGCCTCTCTCTGGACAGCCCACCCTGCACCCTGGGACTGGGCTCAACTGAACCCTAACCCCCGGGTTTCCAGATGCTTCCTGCCTCTGTTCAGGAGCAGGATTGGTGCAAGCTGGCCTTCCACACAAGTGAAAGGAGCTCATCTGCAGCAGGGCAGGCCGGGCCACCCGGACAGCCCGTGATGGACCTTTCACACTTTCCTATTCCTGTCCTTTGTGATATTTCAGGATTGGAGTTGGGATCTGCGTCCTTTGGTCTAGATGGCCTGCCTGTCAGGGATGCCGAGCCTTTGTTGATGTTGTAGGGGCACCTCCGAGCAGCAGGGCCATGAGGAAGGGAAGGCAGCCAGGCCCAGCCGCTGCACCCCGGCCCCTCCAGCCCTGCGCTGCCCGTCTGCTCTTGTTTCCACCCAGACAAGCGCCACTGATTTGAGAAAGTGTCTTGAAAACGTGGCTTCCTACTCAGCACTGCCTGTTGGGGCTTTGAGCCACAGCCCTTTGAAATAGGCCTAGCACTGAAAGGTGGATTTTAAAACTCCTAAGAGTTAAGACACACTGTTCTGAGGTTTCACAAGTGGGCAGGTTCTGCAGCCAGCCTGCCTGGCTTGAGGTCCCAGCTCTGCCACTTGGTAGCTGTGTGACTTCAGGCAGATTGCTTAGCCACTCTGTTTCTATTTTTTCACCCACACAGTGGAAACAATTAAAGTACCTTTCTCATAGGGTTGTTTGGAGGAAGCAATGAGATAATGCATGATATGTTCTAAATAAATGTTAATTATATTGTTGTTATTATTTTAGTAACTATTATTTTTGGTGGGGTAGGACCAACATTTGGTGACAGTGTGCAGAGCAGAAGAGCCCCCTTGGAAGCCA